ACAGGATGTTTATGAAAATTGGTTTATGGCGAATGACGAGCTGCGATGAACTTAAAAAAAATGTTTTGACAGACATGGCATGTCCGGTTATACCGGAAGTGAACAACAACTTTGTTATAGATAATAGAACGCCCTGTATAATAATACATTTTTAGATTTTATGTAAACTAGATAATACTTGTATAAGGTAACATTGGTATCTTTTTCCAAAATTTTGAAAGGTAGATACAATTTTTTCAAAGTTTATATTTCATCCATTTATAAACATAATATTTTGAAAACCTTTTCACGCAAATAGTAAGTAAACGTTCTTTCAGAACAGCGCAGCAGGTCTTGTAGGCCTCTGGCTTCTAAAAACTTGGTTATTTCCCTCCATTTTTTTCTGTCCTTTGCTTTCTATCTCCAATTTCTCACGCCTATTTCTGACAAGTCTTGCTTTACTGATTTCAACCATTTCTTCTTTGGACATTCTCTTCTTTTTTCCCCATTTCTCCCTCCTTCATTATTGTTTTAACATTTCGATTCTCTGGCATTCGTATAATGTGACCAAACTATCTAGCTCTTTGGGATCGCATTTTTGTCGTAATTGCTGGTTTTCCATACATCCTCATTATTCCTTTATTTGTTCATCTTCTCCAAATATTCAATGCTGTCGTTATTTCTCTGAAGATTTTTCTGAGCACCCTTCTTTCCCAGATCTCAACTTTCTTTTCTACCTGCTGGTCCACGTTTCACTGGCATACATCACTGTGGATCTGATTACTGTCTCGTAGACTCGCAGTTTAGCTGTTCTTGACACATTTTTTGCTTTCAGTAATGAACTTAGTGACCCTATCGCTCTACTTCCCTTAATTTATCCTTTGTCTATCTCTTTTTCTTCTTTTCCAGTGTTCGTTATGGTTACTCCTAAGTATTCAAATTCTGACACTTTTTCAAAACTATATACAGTCTCTGTTCCTTTCATTTTAATATATTTGTTATTATTTGTTACATCTCCTCTCATTTCCATAAATTGCGTTTTTGTTTGGTTTATTATTAGTATATTTTCGCTTTATCTTCAAATTTCTGGAAAACTTTTTCTAAATGTTTTTTTGTTCTTGCTAGTATCACCACATCATCCGCGTAGGCTACACACTGTTCCCTGCTATCGAAAATAGTTCTGTTTGTACTCATATTTGATCTTCTTACGATTTGTTCTAATACTAGGTTGAAAAAATTCGTTGATAGCGGATACCCTTGTTTTAAATCTCTATTTACTGTGAACTGTCTTGAAAAGCTTCCTTCCATTGTTACCCTATACAGATTGAACCAAATTAAAACGGAACATATAATTTAATACATGTCTGTTTGAACTGCATTTGTGTGGACCATATATAATGGGTATAGTGGACCAATATAAAACTTGGACAAAAATAAATCCATACCTGGGTATAGACATTGTATAAAATATCGTTCAACTATCTGTCTCGTAACAATGTTGTTTGCGTAAGACGGGTTTGTCTAAGGAAGCGATAATAGTTCAGGAAATGAAGTTCGAAAAAAATTACAACCTCACAATTTTTTTGTCCTACATGTATCCAGTTGAAATTTTAACAGAAGGTAGGTGATAGCCCAAGGATCAAAATCTATATCGAACCGAAGTGTTCAATGCGACTAAGTGACACAACCAATGTTCGAATTTGAATCAAACTGAATTATGGTAACGCACAGATATTGACTGTAATAATTATTGTGCTGTGCGTTTTTATTTTCAGCTTGCGCTTATAAAAATAAAACTCTAAAAGCACGGTATAATTGATCATTACCTATTTAAATTAAAATTTAATGCAGAGGGCTGAATAAGAACAAAAATGATTTATGTAAAAAAATACAGTGGTGTCATTTGCACGAGTATATTTCAACGACTTTCGTTTGGCTTATTGCTCAAACAAAATGAATTTATGACTAAATTTTTACTTATGTTGTCAATATAACCTATGTATGGACCTTGACGGCTAACAGATGTGACGGTTAATAGAGAGACGGATAATCGAGGTTCTACTGTATTTGAATTTAAAAATAATTTTGGACATTTTAAAAGTTCAAATGCAATTTTTTTTCAAATATACCAAATTATATTTAAATATTTTATGGTTTATTTAAATTTATTACCAAAATTTAATTTTGAAATTCTAGCATAATTTCCCGCTTGAATTAGTTCCGATGCAAATGTTTTGGAGCCCTGAATTACATATCCAACTAAAATATTTTCGTGAAGCATCTGGAAGTAGATGATTTGTGGTGATTCATTTATATTAATACTGATTATTGAAGTTATACTTCTATACGCATGGTCGGTGTTGGAAATTTGCATAAGAGTAAATCTGTGAAAACATTACATGTGCATCTTTACATATCTTTATTGCCAATATTTTTTGCATGTGGTTTTTTCTCCCTATTTTTATCGGCCCTTATCTCGTATAAAGAGAGAAATGTTGTTCCAAACATGAATATACAGCTCACGATATTCTCTTGTCTCCTTGACGATCCGCGATAACTGTTGTCACCTCGGTCCCACTAGAATTTTGTCTATTTTGTGGCCTTCTGTTTTCAAAATTTTTTTTTGTTATCATACTGACCTTCTAACCCACTAGAATTTGGTCTATTTTGTGGTCTTCTGTTTTCAGAATTCCTTTTGTTATCATACTGACCTTCTGACCAACTAGAATTTAGTCTATTTTGTGGCCTACTGTTTTTAGAATTTCTTGTTCTCATACTGACCTTCTAACGTACTAAAAGTTGGTCTATTTTGTGGTCTTCTGTTTTCAGAATTCCTTTTGTTATCATACTGACCTTCTGACCAACTTGAATTTAGTCTATTTTGTGGCCTTCTGTTTTTATAATTTCTTGTTCTCATACTGACCTTCTAACGTACTAAAAGTTGGTCTATTTTGTGGCCTTCTGTTTTCAGAATTCCTTCTGTTATCATACTGACCTTCTGACCCACCAGAATTTGGTATATTTTGTGGCCTTCTGTTTTCAGAATTCCTTCTGTTATCATACTGACCTTCTGACATGTGTAGTAATGAATGGTGCTGTCCACCACATTCTGCACATATATATGAGGAATAACATGGCACTTTCCTTTTGTGAATTAGGCATCTACAGTACCTTTGCTTTTCCTTCTCTTAATTTTCGTAAATTATTTAAAAACTTAGTTATTTCTTGACCTATTTTTTCTTGTTCTATATATAATCTCTGCATTTTGACTACCTAAGTATGTAAGTTTGACCTAAATTTAACTTTTAAAGTCTCAGCAAAATTACCTTACACAACAACGCCATGAACTTATTGACATGGCTTATTGTACAAATTAAAAAATGTAATATTATCACTTGTAACCAGAGGTAAAATTCTTTAGATAAAAATGCAAATACTACAAATACTTATATTTGGAATTGAATGAACTCTAAATGTGTATAAAAATAACGATTAGTCAAATATTTCACATATTATGAAAATCAAATGTTTTAAGAATTTAATCAGATTTAAGAATCAAATTATTGAGTATAATTAATATCAAAATAATTAAAATATTGGATTTAATTTAGCTGTAGACAAAATATTACTATTCTAAGTAAAAAAGTATGCAAAATAAAAATATTTCAATTAAGTATTATTAAAAATGTGAAGCTAAGTTTCTTTAATAATCTTTTTAATTTATAAAAAAATGCACTGCTCTAAATGATAATAAATATTCAAAAACTTACAGTTTTATCCCGACGTTCACTTGTATGTTCCTGCTTCCTTCTTAGAACTGCAACTGGAACTAGTGAACTGGATCTCTGGATGCTGCTAGATTTTTCACCTCCAAACTGCCGGAACATTCGACTTAAAGACTGCTATTCAGGTTCTCTGGTGATCAAAGGCTCTCGTAAAACTCCTACCCCTAATTTCGGTGCTTTCTGGTCTTTTTATTTATTTTTTCTTTCCTCCACATTTCGAATTCGATCGTCTATCTTGTACGGAACTGGGAAACATCTATTCAGGTCGCTAAAGGTCGTCTCCTTCGAAGCTCCAATCCAATTAACGCCCTTTTGATGTTGTTTTTTCGAAAGACCAACGGACAGATTCGAACGTAATTATTAGCATCGAATCGTTTTATAATGCCCCTTTGTCCACTTCTTCTCGATCGACAATGATCAATACAATAAAACGATGAAGTTGTGGAGTAAAAATGTTGGTTTTATTGACAGATACTCATAATTACACTATATGATGTTTGTTAGGTAACTATCTATAATAGACTGCAACTCAAATGAGCTCAAATCCCCAATTTATAATCTCACAAATAATGTATACATCAGCACAGAGGTTCATGCTTCTATCATACTAACAAACTTTGAACTATGAGCTTATAATACAATTTAATCCAGGCCGCAATTTTAACACTTAGGAAGTTCAATTAGTAAAATATATTATTCAAAAATTCATTAACAGGTGAATGGACTTTGGTTATTAAAATATTATTCGATATAGTTTTACAATTTCTTAATTATACACGGTGAAACTATGAAAGATTAAGATTAAGATTAAGATTACAAATTAAGGGATTAATTTGTGATTTAACACTGAGCCTTTCGCCTTGTCTAGTTCTGTTTCATATCAAAACACCAGATTTATTTTTATTAATTTAAATCCATTAAGTCATAATTAGCTTTTAATGAAAAATTGATAACAGTAATTATTAAACACAAATAAGTGTTTTTAGATGACAACTATTCAAAAGATTTATTGTCTCATTACCAATATTAATAAATAAACAAACCAAAGTATAGATAACTTCTTTCTTAAAAAGTATTGATGTATTTATTAGAAGATGACCGGAGATTTCATCCGTCAGTATAAACATTAAAATCGTTGTTAGAATTGACCTTAATAGATTTCATAACCTTGACCAAATACAACCTATTATCCTATTATCAACAATAAGGATTTTATATATTTTTATCATTACCTCAGATGCCGTCATGCTGTCGAAACGCGCTCTTCGCTTGAAATTTTCAACGCTTTACCACGCTGCCAAATATTGCACAGCGACTAATAATCGAGAAAATTATTATAAAAACTTGGTAGGTGCTCAGTCTCAGAATGATGACACGAATCCAGAGGGATGGGAGAATGCCAAACCGTTTGAGAGTATGCCTGGACCGAAACCTTTGCCGGTGATTGGAAACATGTGGAGGTTTTTTCCTGGAGCAGAACTTCGTCTTTTAAACACGGATAAACTTTTTCTACTGTAAGTATTTTTTACATTACTGTTAGGCCTACTTATATACTAATATGAGTAGCGCTATGACCTGTTATGAAGTATTAATATATTTACAACTAATTACATACTATTGAATATACATACAAGGTGTTTCAAGACGAGCTTACACTAACTATATATCGGAAACTACAGGATGTTTATGAAAATTGGTTTATGGCCAATATTTTGAGAGACATGCCATGTCCGGTTATACCAGAATCGAACAACAACTTTGTTATAGACAATAGAACGCCCTGTATAATAATACATTTTTAGATTTTGTCTAAACTAGATAATACTTGTATAAGGTCACATTGGTATCTTTTTCCAAAATTTTGAAAGGTAGAGACAATTTTTTCAATGTTAATATTTCATCCATTTATAAACATAATATTTTGAAAACCTTTTCACGCAAAGAGTAAGTAACGTTCTTTCAGGTCAGCGCATCAGTTCTTGTAGGCTCCTGGCTTCTAAAAACTTGGTTATTTCCCTCCATTTTTTCGGTCCTTTACTTTCTATCTCCAATTTCTCACGCCTATTTCTGACAAGTCTTGCTTTACTGATTTCAACCATTTCTTCTTTGGACGTACTCTTCTATTTTCCCCATTTCTCCCTCCTTCAGTATTGTTTTAACATTTCGATTCTCTGGCATTCGTATAATGTGACCAAGCCATCTAGCTCTTTGGGCTCGTATTTTTGTCGTAATTGCTGGTTTTCCATACACCCTCATTATTTCTTTATTTGTTCGTCTTCTCCAAATATTCTCTGCCGTCGTTATTCCTCCGAAGATTTTTCTGAGCACTCTTCTTTCCCAGATCTCAACTTTCTTTTCTACCTGCTGGTCCACGTTTCACTGGCATACATCACTGTGGATCTGATTACTGTCTCGTAGACTCGCAGTTTAGCTGTTCTTGACACATTTTTTGCTTTCAGTAATGAACTTAGTGACCCTATCGCTCTGCTTTCCTTAATTTATCCTTTTTCTATCTCTTTTTCTTTTCTTTTCCAGTGTTCGTTATGGTTACTCCTAAGTATTCAAATTCTGACACTTTTTCAAAACTATATACAGTCTCTGTTCCTTTCATTTTAATATATTTGTTATTATTTGTTACGTCTCCTCTCGTTTATTATTAGCATTACGTTTATTATTAGTATCTTTTGGCTTTTTCTTCAAATTTCTGGAAAACTTTTCCTAAATGTTTTTTTGTTCTTGTTAGTATCACCACGTCATCCGCGTAGGCTACACACTGTTCCCTGCTATCGAAAATAGTTCTGTTTGTACTCATATTTGATCTTCTTACGATTTGTTCTAATACTAGGTTCAACAAATTTGTTGATAGCGGATCCCCTTGTTTTAAATCTCTATTTACTGTGAACTGTCTTGAAAAGCTTCCTTCCATTGTTACCCTATATATCGTGTTCCTCATGGTCTCATATAGCATATGTTATCCAAATTTTTGTTCATAGCTAGTATTTTGTATTGATTTTAAAATACTTAGTTGATCAGTAATTGTTCGTTTTGGTCTAAAATCTCCCTTGTTTTCTCTAATCAGTTTTTTGTCACATTTTATTAATCTTTTCCTAATAATTTTTGAATAAGTATTTTATAGACTACTTTTGTTATCTTTTGGGTCTCTTATTATTTCTTTGACTTCATTCAAAGTTGGTTCCTGGCACGTCCCGTCTTCATCTTCTTACCAATTCTCATTTTCCATAAATTCCTCTTGTTAGTCTGTATTTAATAGATCTTCAAAATATTCCGCCCATCTGTTTAATTTTTCTATTCTTTCACCTAGAAGTAAGCTTTCTTTGTTTCTGCAATACTGTGGATTATTCGTAGTTTCTCTGGATTTCTTAACTTCTTGGTAGAAATTCTTCACATATTTGTTTATGTAAGCTTCTTCTATGTTTTTCAATTGCTTTTCTAGCTGTTTTCTTTTCTTTATTCTGCAAATTCTTTTTAATTCCCTTCTTCTTGCCACATAGTTTTCGATCGCATTTTGGGTATTTTTTTATCTCTTTGTAGTTTTGTCCTTGGCGTCTTTTTATATGCTCTCGTCCTATATACTTTTCTGCTACTGATGACATGGCTGTCTGCTGTATGGTCTGAAACTCTTCTTCTATATCCTGTTTGACTGGATTCTCTAGTTTTTTATTTATTTTCCTCTAGTCTGTTTACAACCTGCTTCTCTTGAAGGCGCTCTAATCGGTAATTTAATCTATCTCTAACAGGTTTTGGAATTATTATTAGTTCTTGTTTTAGTTTTTATTTAGTACTAATAGTAAAATTTTTAAATAGACGTCAAAATTATACGCCATATCTTGAAACTTCAAAACACAGTATGACAATAATTTTCAATGAAACACCCTGTATTGTATAATTTTAATGAAAAATAAATCAATTCTCTTTCAAATAGCATTGAAGTTTCTTGGACCTAGAGTTAAAACGTTTGGTGATAATAATTGTGGTTTAATGTTAAAAGTAAGATATATTTATATTGGTTTATTTTAGCAGGCCGTGTATGAAAATGTCATAATTGTCATTATTTAAGGTTATTGGCATTTTTACGAACTGATAGAAATGGCTCCTTTAGAGTTAAACGATGATGACTGCGTTTGACTTTAAATACATACATGGGGAATGTGATAGTTATTAGTACATGTGTTTTATTTGCTAAAAGATATCTAGATCGATCATGACCTACTGTCCGTGACATTGTAAAGAGATTACTTAAATATTTAACACATTTTGGTTGTTTTCAACAAAAAGTTAACAAAGCGAAGCCCATTCTTGATAATAATAATGTGTAACCTTTCTTATTTTAATATTGCTAGAAAGGTCACCCATTGATATAATGCAAACGGCAGCTAGATGGTTGGTGGAGAGCGAGTCATGGCTTCGAAACTAGCTTTTGAAATTGAAATTTGGTTTAACAGTATAAACTGCCACAGATAGAAAGAAAAAGAACCGATCAATCCTAGAACACCAATTGGTCGAAGAAGTATCGGCCGATGGCGCGAAAGATGGACTGACAACCTTCCATAGAAGTATTAATCTACCGATGAACAAGCGGAATTGTTTATAAAGAGAAAGAAGAACAAAAAGAGGAAATTTAGCCACGATAGATAATAAATACTATAAATATAAAGATATTACATATGCACACTTATACACGCACGTATTATAGAGTAGGTACTACTACTATATCTTACAACTACTACAACATATCTAGAAAAAGTAACAAAAGCAAAGATCAAAGCCTCAGACATCAAGAAAGAACATCAGTTACATCTTATACCTAGAGAAAAGTCGTCAAGATGTCCAAAACTTTACGGCTTACCCAAGTTACATAAGACAGGATTACCATTGCGGCCAATAGTTAGTTGTATCGGATCTCCGCTACAACCACTGGCAAAATTTCTGGCTGAACAACTACAACCATATACAGAAGAAGCGGATTCTTACGTCATGAATGAAAGCCACTTCATTGGGCGTATAAAAGATGTGACCCCTGATCCGGGACATTTCTGAGTCAGCTTCGATGTGGTCTCACTTTTCACGAATGTTCCTATAAATGAATCATTAGAAATTATAAGCAGAAAATATCCATTACCACAGGATACTCTAAATCTAATAAAGCACTGCTTAAATAACACATATTTTATCTATAAGCAGCAAATATATAAACAAGTTAAAGGGGCACCGATGGGTTCACCACTGTCACCGGTAATAGCAAACCTGTATACCTGCAAGAAATAGAACAGAGAGCAATAGGAACAGCCGAACACAAACCCAACGATGACTTAGGTATGTGGATGATACTTTTATATCCTGTACACATGGAGCAGAAAAACTAAAGGTACTTTTAGAACAAAAATAGAAGCAGAATAAAATAATATCACGTGTTCATATCATGTATCATGTATAAAATAATATCAATATCATGTTGCATGATACAGGTCGTCGAAGAGCTTTACGAGAAATCATATGGAAGTAGACGAGAAGATCAAAGAGGAATTCAAACAGATATTTTAAAGAAGATCATGAATCAAGGTTCCGAATTAATGCCAGAAATAAAGGTAGATGTGATTCGACAAGCGTTAAGAAAAATGAAAAATGGCAAAGCTTCAGGAGAGGATGGAATTGCAACAGAAGCTATCGCAAATAAAGTAGATATGCTATTAAATCAATTAAGAAAACTGTTTAATCTAGGTTTTTAGCAAAGAGAGGTGTCCAAAGAATGGAACAATGCTATAACCATCCTTTTGCATAAAAAAGGAGATAGAACGGACCTAGAAAATTATAGACCTATTAGCCTGTCGAATTACATATGCAAGCTCTTCACTAGGTTAGTGATATCAAGAATGGAGAGAAAATTAGATTTCTACCAACCGAGAGAGCAGGCAGGATTCCGATCAAATTATGGTGTCAATGATCACCTCAATACAGTAAAGACGTTCATTGAAATTTCTATAGAATACACAAACCTCTTGTCCTCACTTTCATAGATTTTCATAAAACGTTCGACACGATCGAAATAGACAGCCTTAAAGAAGCAATGAATGACAGCAGAATTGACCATAGGTATAGTGAACTTATTTACAATATTTACAAAAATACCACTATGACTGTTAAGATACACGATAAAACCCGACCAATAAAAATAAAACGTGGGATAAGGCAAGGAGATACATTGTCACCGAAATTATTCATAACGACATTAGAGTATGCCTTTAAAATGGTTAATTGGGACCACAGCACAAAGGAGTAACAATAGATGGCGAAAAACTTAAGCATCTCAGTTTCACAGATGACATTGTCCTTATGACAGGTAATTTAGAAGAAGCCACAGATAGGTTAAATGAATTGGACTTTGCATGTTCGAAGGTGGGCATGAGAACGAACTTGACCAAAACTAAGTTTATGACAGATATGGTTTCCAATAACCATTTAACTATTCAAAACAAAGTGGTAGAACTAGTGAAGA